AAACAATGACAAAACGGTAAAAGGTTTTCACTCAATTAAGCTTAATCCGCAGGCAAAGATGGTAATTTAACAGATTCTCAGACAACATTTGTGTTATTTTGGCAATTTTAACTCTCCGGGTGTGATTAAGGAAGCAGTTGCTAATTTTATGTCAAGAATTCTGGATGAATTAAGAATTAAGAAACAACCTTAAATTTGTCATTAACTTCATATTTGGTTATAGTTCTGAATGGTTTTGATATAATTTTAAAAAAGGAAAATCATCCATCATAGATGTTCTTAATGAAATAAAAATGAATGAAGTAGTTTTACTATGTATAAACCATACCATTAAAAGATAACCTAATCCATGTGTAGTGTTAATTACATATAGTAATTTGATTTGAAAAAACAAACCAAAAATGAGTTTTATAAATAGAAAGTTGTTTATGACTTTTCAAAGAAGCTAAAAGTAAAAGATGAAGACCTTAATATAAATAAATAAGTATATATAAATAGAGAGATTAAAAAATTAAAGTTATGAACTATAAATATGCTTATTTTTAAAGTACTAAATTGAAGTAGCCTCTGGATTTTCTAAAAAACACAGAATTTGCTATTAATTTAACATACAAACTTTTTTCTTCTCTTAGGTCATGCTCTTAAACCTCAGGTTTCCTCTATTTTTACATCATTTTTGGATGGATTAAAAAAGTTTTATATCACAAAGGTACGAATTTTTACAAAATGCTGAAATTTTAAATGCTTGGGAAATTAATTTTGTTTCTGTCTTCCCCCCCCACATGTACCTATTCTAAGGATGTTTTCTTATTTTCCTGCATGGATTTCATAATTAGTATTTTTCATGTTAGACCAGATATTTTATCAAGTAAATTAACCATGCAGCCAATTTTTTAGAAATTTTAATAGTTTTAGTTTTTTGATGTTTCTGAAAATACTGTGTTGAACTGTTTCATGCCTATAACATTTTTCTATAGTTTGAGTTTTTCCCTCTATCATAGATATGTAGAAGTAACTTAAGAATATGGG